ACAAACCAGCACCACCACCACCGCCATCTTTGCTCATCATGGTCAGGGGCTCTCGCACAGAAGGCCTAGCATGCAGATGGGGAAGTGGTGGGCATGGGTGGCTGCAGTGCTCAGAGGGGAAGCCCCAGCAGAGCACTGTATTCAGGTTCTGTCTCCACCCAAGGGGTGTCTGGGGCAGCACGGACCTCCCTCGACCCCTACAACAGCCCCCAAAGACTCACTCTATCCCCACGCTTCAGGCCAGGCAGCCTCTCTCCCTCCTGAGGGGTGGGCCACACCTCGCAGCCCTGGCCTCAGGGCCAGATCAGCTGCCAGGGCTCAAACCTTTGCCCCAGACCACACGCTGTGTCTCTGGCCAGCAAGGTGGCTCACAAAATTAGAATTAGCCACCATTTCAAAACTACCAAACCCACAGAAAAACCTAGGTTTCTAGCTGCTTTGAGAAACATCAAAGACCTGGCCATGCAGGACCTGCATTTCTTCACGCTAACACAGGCGGCAGCTGCCCCATGACATGGTATACGTGGTCCGGTCCCCCCATGGCAACTGGTGCCTCCCTGAAGTGCACTTCCTTCAGGGTCCCAGCTCTTTGAACCCGAGGCCAGCTGTGGCCACAGGGTGGTCACGCAGGGCTTTGTGGCCCCTCTGGGCTCAGATGGAACTCCAGCCCCTTCCTCAGCAAGTGACCATGCATCATACAGTGGGGGTCCATGGCCCGACCCCCAACCCATGCTCACCACGTGGTTCACCCATGGGGGGACTGTTCCACATGGGGAGAAGTGGAGTGGCCCCAGGCCCTGGCTGCGGGGACCCTGTGGGCCCAGTCTAGGGGGCTGCGGTCTCCAGACTCCTCTCCCACCAGCCGGTGCCCTGTCAGTTCTTTCTCCCTAAGTGGCACTGAAGAGCCTTGGCCAACACTCCCAGATCAGAAAGGCCCAGAGAGGCAGCAGCCACACCCATCCATGTCCGCCTGGGCTGGCCTGCCTGCAGGACCCACCCAGACGTGAGCAGGCACGGGCACCCAGGAGACAGAGACACTCACACTGCCCATCATGTCACGAGGGTTCCAGCGGGGGCAGGGGGGCCTGAATCCTTGCCACCCTGGTAGTTAGGAGACGGGGGAAACGTGAGGGATCAATGACAAGACCTCAGAAGGGCCTTCAGCAGCATCTACAAAGAGACGGCTTCCAGAGCAGGGGCTGTGAGGGATGGGACGGGACAGGACAGGAGAGGCCATCCTGCAAGGAATGCCAGGTCGACTATGGCGAGCTGGAGCCCCCCAAGTCCACACCACACAGCACATGAGCCGTGTCCAGGCCCCTCCCCAGGCTGCCCTCCCGCTGCTCAGTCAGAACGTAGTGAAGGAGAGGCAGGTCCAGTTGTGCAGAAAACCACTTGTCGGAACGAATCACTTCACGTACGACACACGCTCATCCGTTAAATTACAAACTGATGCTGTTATAAAAATAATGGCACTGCACTTTTTATTTTCTTTAATCAGAAAAATAAGCCCCGGGTTTCTGGGAAGGAGACCCTGGGTGAAGACAGATGCCTGTAGGCCCTGCTCCCGGCGTCAGACTGCAGGGCGGAGCCCACACCTGGTGGGTCAGGACCCCCAGAGGGTCGTGGGGGTCAGGGTCCTCATGAACAAGTGGGGAGTGGGGAAGGCCTGGGTCTAGAAACCAGGGGCACCTCTGTGGCCTCCATGATTGGGGTCTGTAGTGGACGCGGCCGTCAGAGCCAGGGGAGACTAGTGCACAGCGCAGGAGCCCAGTGCTGCTCCCCAGAAGGGCTGCAGCTCCCTCCCCCGCACCCCCAAGTCGGGAGAGTCAGAGCTGAGCTCCTGCCTCATGCCCAGGACTCCGGGAGCACCAGCACCCGGCTGCCCTGAGCCAGGAGTCTGGGGCAAGGGGTGGGCAAGCCCTGAGCTCGGTGTGAGAGAGGCAGGGAGGCAGGGAAAGCTCTGTAGTGTGACATCTGTCCTGACAGAGGACGTCCCGGGGGGCCAACAGCCGGAAAACTGCAGGGCCAAGTGGGAGGCCAGGAAGGGCATTCCAAGAATGGCCAGGCCCTCTTGGTCCACAGCTCGGGGGGACAGGAGAGTCTGCCCCCTGCTGCAGTGCTCAGCCACTGAGGTGGAGGCAGAATCCTGGGGGAACCTCCCTGTCACCAGTAGCTCCTACTTGACCACAGATGGCCCCTTGCGGCCCCTCCCTGCAGTCACAGGACCTTGGAGGTGGACACGAATCACCCTGTGCCAAGGGAGAGGTGAGCAGGACCTGAGACTGGCTCTCACTGGGCCCACGTTCTGCCTGGGGGCAGGGGATACACACTGGCCAGAGGGGTGGGGCCCAAGGACGGCAAGGCCTGCAGCTGAATGCCCCAAAATCACACACACACACACACACACCAGGTACATATACATGTGCCATGTATACACGCATACATGCACAGACCACACGTGCATGCCACCTACATGCATGCACACACACACGCACACTCACTGGGCAGCACACCTGGGGCGGGCGTGTACGGAGACTCTGACATACAAAGACACGTGGGCACTTAAGAGGCACAGAGATGCCGAGGGACTTGCCCCCAAGCCCGAGCCCTTGGGGGTGGCCGTGCTCCCTCTCCCAGGGGCGTGCACGTCACAAAGCAGCGGGCATGGTGGAGGCGGGCATGGCGGGGGGTGGGAAGACGCTGGGGGTCCTCTCCTCTCTTCTTGGCGCGGGTGGGCCTCAGCCTGGTGGCGGCCCTGAGGGGGGCTCCCGCCTCTGCTGAGCCTCAGTTTCCAACTGCAAACAGCCCGGCCTTGTCGGGAGGCCTCCAGGCAGTCTGGCAACACATTTCACGCTGCAGGGTGAGGCAGCCTTGGCCCTGGCCCTCCCCTGCGCAGCCACACCCGGGTGGTCTGGAAAACGGGCATCAGGCTCCGGGGCTCACAGATGGTGCCTGGCGGGCCACTGCAGGGATGGAGGATCGAGTCCGTCCTGACCTCAGGGGCCGGCAGGGACGACCCAGGGCCAGGAGTGAGAGCTGGGGCTGGCGGGCCTGAACCAGGTCCAGCAGGGAACGCCGCGGCTGGCTTGGGAGCCCCAGGAGAGGTCGGCGGGGCAAGGCTGGCCGTCCAAGGAGCGAAGGGCGCTCCGGTATAGGGAGTAACGGCTGGGGTTTGCAGGGCTGGCCCGGGCCCAGAAGTGACCGTGGGGGCTGGCAGGGCTGCTTCGGGCCCATGAGTGGCCGCTTGTGTCGGCACGGCTGTTCTGGCCCTAGGAGTGGCCGCTTTTGTTGGCATGGCTGTCCAGGGCCCAGGAGTGAAGGTTTGGGGGGACTGGGCTGTTCTGGGGCTTCAACTAATTGCTGAGGCTGACTGAGGCTGAGCAGTGACCGCCGGGGGCGGCTGGGCTGGCCCAGGAGAGACCTTCGGGGTTGACATGGGGCTAGAAGCGTCCGCCGGGGGCAGCAGCACTGGCCTGAGAGTGAGCTGGTGGGCCGGCGGCATGGACACAGCATGAGGAGTGACTGTGGGGGCTGGCAACGCTGTCCTGAGAATGCTCTGCTGGGCTGGCCATGGGGACACGGGGCCACCCATGACCGCATAGGCCAGCAGCGGTGCCAGAGGGCCAGCAGGGACCGCAGGGGCCGACAGAGGTGGCACGGGGCCAGGAGGGACCGCACGGGCCGACAGAGGTGGCATGGGGCCAGAAGGGACCGCAGGGGCCGGCAGCGCTGCCACGGGGCCAAGAGGGAGCGCAGGCGCCGGCAGCGTTGCCTGGGGCCTAGAAGTGCCCAACGCGGCCGAGAGGGCTGAGCCAGGAGTGACCGCTGGGGCCGGCAGTGCTGATCTGGGGCTGGAAGCAGCCGCTGGGGCCGGCAGGGCTGACCTGGGCCCAGAAGTGACCGCCGGGGCTGACAGGGCTGTCTCGGGCCCAGAAGTGACCGCTGGGGCCAGCTACGCTGACCCGGGAGTGGCCGCTGGGGCTGGCAGGGCTGCCCGGGGTCCGGGAGAGCCCGACGGGGCTGGCAGCGCTGACACGGGGCTGGGAGTGACCCCTGGGGCTGGCTGGGCTGGAGCTGCTGCTGGTGCTGGGCCGGGCCGTTCTGGTCCCAGTGGTTGGCTGGGAGCGGCCCCCCTTCTGGGGAGCACACCTGCATGGAAGAAAGAGCACGTGTCCACCTGGGCAGGTGTGCCTGCAGACCCCCCCATCCAGCCCCGGCCCCTGAGACATGCTGCCCCCTCACCAGCAGCCCAATCCCCAAGGGAGTTGAAAGTGGAGTGTGAAACACTGAGAAGAACCCCTCTGAAAAGAAGGCGCAAACCAGTGAGTCCCAAAGAGGAAAGCAGCTACAGCACTGAGCCAACACCTAGGACAGAACCCTATGCTCTGGGGGAAAGACCCTGGACCCAGTCTCCCTGCCCTACCCCAGCTGGGCTCAGGGTGACAGCAAGGATGCCCCTCCCACCGAGGTCCCAGTAGCTGTAGAGGAAGGCCCCTAAATGGGCAGGGCTGTTCCTTGCACCTGGACCACCAACCGCAAGTCACGTGACTCCCTCCCCCACGTCTCGCAGACACACTGCGTTTCACATAAGCTTAGCAGATAGAGAGCACCTGGCGATGAGCCTGGTCCTCACGCATTACAGACACGCTGGACACCCCGTGGTCGGCGGAGCCTGACAGACGCAATGGGGAAACGGGGCCGGCCTATCAGTGGGTGCAGCCTCCTGTCCCACCCAAGCACACACTCCCCCCGATTCCTGAGCTCCTGGCCTGGCCTGGCTTCTCTCTGACTGTGACTCACCCAGGCAGGTCTCCCGCCTCTGCTCAGGACCCAGTCCACATGTGCCCCATACCCCACGCCCAACAATGATGGAGCGCGTTGCCAGGCAGGCCCAGATGCTGACGGGTGGTGTCCAGGTGCTGGTGTGGTCCTGAGGGCCGCCAGGGGAAGGGGGCACAGAGCCCGCAATTCTGAGTGGGGCAGGGCCCAGCACTCACCTGCTTTGTGGGCTGCAGCGGGACTTTCTTCTTTCCTCGGTCACAAGCAGGCTCCAGGTCCTGCTCGGGGCTGCCTGCCTCCAAGGGCCGCCCGTTCTCACTCGGCTCTGCAGATGGGCAGTTTTCTGACTCACGGGGTTTCTTGACAAGGCGACGTTCCCATTTCTCCTTCCGCTCATGTGGCTTCAGGGCCATGTCCTTCTGTAGGGTGAGGAATGACAAAGCCAGTTAGTCGGCAGTGACATGATTCCACGTTATCCCACTGGTAACACCACACGAGACCACCCTGTGCTCTGAAAGTAGGGTCCTGGGCACGTGACAGCACCTACCTGGAGGTGCTGGGCCCCCCAAGTGGGCTGTCAGGCTGGACTCACACCTTGGGAAGGAGCCTCCCATCCTGGGAAGGCCCACTCTGAGGGGATGAGAGGAAATGGTTGGACGGGTGGGGACAGATGGGTCAGATGAGCATGGGCAGACTCATCAGGACTGGGAGGCCGGGGAGGGTGATGTTGAAACAAAACTGGATCGAGGGAGGACTGAGTTTCCCAAGGAGGCCTCACCAGTAATGAGGGGCTCTAATCCTTGGCCCAGCATGGGGCTTCACCCAAGCTCAGCAGGAAGCAGGTGCCAAGACTGACCTGCTTTGGCCTTGGTGAGGCATCAACCTTCCTGGGAGTGTTCCTTGGATTCCTAGGCTGAGGGCCATCACCACAGTAGCTGACCACAGGCAGAAACAGTCCAGCTCCAGCTGCCCCTACCCCAATCCTGAGCCACCTGTGGGTTTATCTGCCCAACTCCACACAGCTCAGCATCCTGATCCTATGGAGTCCTGTCCTGGGAAAGTGGTCCCTGTCTCAGCCAGGTGTGCAGCCCTTCAGAGACCCAGACCCCTTCCCCACAACAGGGACCCGGGCCCACCTTGCACACAGCTGCACCCAGTGCCCAGAGCAGAGGTGACACACAGCGGATGTTTAATAAGCGTGTGCTGCATCAATGCCAACAATGGCAGTATGATCGCACACGCCCCATGCCAGGGGCAGGGCATCCAGCACCAGGGTGCACAGCTCCTACTATACAGAGGCGGTCCTGGACCTGCCTCACCTGCAGCTCCTCCAATGTGCCCAGAGCCCAGGAGAGCCCGGTTTACTGGTGGTGAGCAGGCAAGGTGTCACCCACCGGCCTCTCACTTGGGCCCATGGGTTGCTAAAGAGGAGGGAGGGAAATTGCAACAAGGGACCCAGAAGATTCTGAAAGCATCTGCCCAAGGGTGAGGGGAGGAGGAAGGTCAGAATGAGGGTGATGCCAACACATCTACCCACAGTGAGTTGCTCCCCCACATGCCAGGTGACACCCCCGAGGTGTCACAGCCCCCCAGGAAGTGTCCCCAGGTGACACCCTCATAGCCTCAGGGGAAGTATTCCCAGGTGACACCCTCACAGCCTCATGGGAAGTATTCCCAGCTAACACCCTCACAGCCTCATGGGAAGCATTCCCAGGTGATATCCTTACACTTCCATGGGAAGTGTCCCCAAGTGACACGCTCATAGCTTCATGGGAAGCATCCCCAGGTGACATCTTCACACCCCCACAGGAAGTGTCCCCAGGTGATACCCTCACATCCCTACAGGAAGTGTCCCTCAGATGACACCCTCATACCTCCACAGGAAGTGCCTCCCAAGGACCTGAGGGAATCTGGCCAGTGCAACCAGCAGTGACCATGGCAGCCTCTCCCAGAGCTGGTCTTTGTTCTCAGGTGGGCGCCTGGCTGGGGCTTCAGAGGCCTCAGCTCACCTGGGCAGGTGGTAGGAAGGATCAATGTCCCAGTCTGTCATGATCCTCTGGCCTGGCAGTGGGGACAGGGACACACTGTGCTTGCCAGGTGGGGTCCTCTGACCTGGCACCAGCAGCGGCTTCAAGATGTCCCCCATACCCCTCTTCCTGCCCAGTGAGAGGGGCCTACAATTCCCAGAATTAGTGAGGGACACCAACGAGGATAGCCAGACTGCAGCTGTCCTTCCAGGCACAGAAGCCCCCATGACCTCCCCGCCACGTGTGACCCCCAGCCCGTGCTGGGAGCCATCACGTAACGTACAGTTGTAGGCTGACTGACTACCCCACTCTGCAGCCACACATGGGGCAGCAGCAGGTTCCTCCTCTCTTAGGGTGGGACCCTCCACACTCCCACGATTCTCCCTTAAGGGGTCCAAACCCATGATCACACAGACCCGGGGCTGACAGCAGGATTTGGGGAGGGATTGCTCCTCCATGGCCTCTCATCAGGGGGCTTGGAGTACCCCTTGACCTCTGACTCGACAGTGAAGGCTGACATGTGCACCCTCCTGCATGAGGTGGGGGGGGGGGCCTGCCCTGAGGGGCAGCAGGAAGGGAGAGGGCAGGGTGAGCCAGCGGGGCTGGGGGCTCCTAAAGGTCAGCTGGCAGTGAGGGTGCACGCGGGGTGTTTGTCCTGGAACCCTGGAAACCCTCCCATGCCAAAGCTGTTCCCCCAGCCTGGAATTCAGGTCCCCGATGACCAGCTTAGCCCAAGCCATGTGGCTCTGCCCAAAGCTCCACGGGCTGCCGCCTGAGCAGCGGGTGGAACCTGACTTCTTGGACACAGGACAGACCCTTCCCCACGCTCACCCTCTGGGCTGTCAGACCCCAGGCACACCTACAGGCCGCCTGCATTTCTGTGGCTCCTCCTGGAGCCCTGGGCAAATGCCCTTGTCCCTCCTCTGAACCACTCAGAGCACTAGCTCATCTCAGCCCGAGGAGGGCACTCCTCCCCCATGCCCTCAGAGAGCCCCTGCTGACCCTAGTACCTCCCAGCCCCACCCTGCTACAGGCATCAGGCCAATTCCAGGCTCCAGGGCTGCCTCCATCTCTGCATTCATTAAACTGGCAGTGAGTACCAACTGTATGCCAGCTTGGCTCAAGGCATCGGCGACCAGCTCAGGAGGGACCCAGCCTGCCAGGCTAGTTGCTGTGACACCCAAACAGACAGGAGGGTAACACAAGCAGGGAAGGCAAAGGAAGGGGCCCCTTCAGAGCTGCTTGGGGAAGACCCTTGGTCAGGGCTGGGGAGCCTCCCACGGGGAGCAGGGCATGCGAAGGCCTGAGGCGGCGAGGAGCTCCCTGCTCCCTCTCTGATGCCACCTCCCGGGGACTTGGATGCTGGGCAGGAGGCTCTACTGGTCAGCACCCGGCCCTGCATACGGCCACAGGCTTCCCCTGGAGAGAACCGAGGCTGTCTCTGCAGTGACAAGAAAGTCTTGGTGAAGACAACAGCTTGCTTTCCACACGTGGGTACTTAACACTAGCTGACCCCTGGTGCCCCACGACAAGTGAGTGCCGGCAGACAGAGTCTAGGGCCCAAGAGGTCCAGCAACACTGCTGGTCACCTATCCCACGAGGGTGGGCTCCATCACTCTAACTCACTGCTGTTTTGGGCCTCCTGCCCCAGGCAGGTCTCATTGCTAAGAGGCTGTTCCCACACAGGCCCTGGAGAGCAGTGAAGTCCCAGTCTGTACCTGTCCACTCTGGATGCCGCCACCCGACCCAGGGCACCAGGCTGCACTTCTGTTAGCTCAGAACCTCACTGCCTACCCTGAGGGTCCCCGCCTGGACCCAGCCCCCCATCATGGCACAGAGGGAGGGCCCAGCAGATTGCAGTCAGAGGGCTGGAGAGAACCAGAGAAAGACCTCAGCAACATGCTCTAAGGGTATACTGGTCAGGGTTCTCCAGAGAAACAGAGCAACAGGATGCGTGTACAGGAAAGAGCTTTATTATGAGGAGCTGGATTCACGATTGTGGCTCTGCCGTGGGCAACCTGGAGACCCAGGGGGACCGATGGTGTAGTCCAAAAGCTGGAAAAACCCATGTCCCAGTTCAAGGCCTTCAGGCAGGAGGAGCTCCCTCTTTTTTTGTTTGTTTGTTTTTGTTTGAGGAAGATTAGCCCTGAGCTAACATCTGCCGCCAATCTTCCTCTTTTTGCTGAGGAAGACTGGCCCTGAGCTAACGTCCGTGCCCATCTTCCTCTACTTTATATGTGGGACGCCTGCCACAGCATGGCTTGACAATCAGTGTGTAGGTCCACACCCGGGATCCAAACTGGCGAACCCTGGGCCACTGAAGTGGAATGTGTCAACTTAACCGCTGTGCCACCAGGCCGGTCCCAAGAGCTCCCTCTTACCTGGGGGAAGGTGGGCATTTTTGTTCTGGTCAGGCCTTCAGCAGACTGGGTGAGGCCCTCCCACAATGGGGAGGGCCAGCTGCTTTACTCAGTCTACAGATTTAAATGCTAACCTCACTTAGAAACACTCTTGCAGACACCGACAACAATGGCTGACCAAACGTGTGGCCCCGTGACTCAACCAGGTCGACACACAGCATTTACCATGCCAAGGGCAGTGCAGACACCACCTGAGGTGGATGCGAGCCCGGTGAGGGGGCGGGGGTTTCAAGGCACCCCACCATGCACGTGTCCATGCACATGCACACTCACACACACAAGCACATGTTGACATGTGCACTCACACACCGCTCCCTCTCCCCCGCGCCCCCCAGCCTCCACAGCCTGGGCAGTGGGCTGGGGCAGAGTCCCTGAGCAGGACGTGTATCTCTGCCAGACCCTTCTCTGTACTGTCGCTGCACTGGACAGGCCCCTGGGCCCCATGGTGCCCTGGCCCTGACACTCAGCCTGTTGACTCCCACATGCACACAGCATGCACCCCCACACCTCGGAGCACCTCACAGGCCACCTAGACCTTCTTATTGCCACAGAAAGCAGCAAGTTCTCTCCCCCCAGCTTCCCATAGGCCACCTCCCTCCAGAACGAATATCCTGCCCCCGTGTGGCCCGACCCTGCGGCATGCGCTTCTCAAGTCACTGTGGGGTTAGCCCCACTTTTACAGGGGAGCCACTGGTTCTGAGAGTAGGAGCAGGAGCTGCTTCCAGGGCCATCTGGGGCCACTTCTGACCCAATCAGGTAAAATCACAGAGACTGCCTGGGGGATGAGCTCTGAGCTCTGGTGTCTGGGCCCTGGAATGAGAATGGGGCTGTCGGGGTGTGTGAGTGCACGTGCTGAGAAGGATGCGCAAACACAGAATGTGTTACCGTTTCATTACTAACCATAAAACTTGCGGAAGAGTCTGCCCCATGGGGACACCCAGCTGGGCTGGGACCTGTCTTCTAACTAGCATT